AGTTTACAGATGAGAAAACTGAGCCTTTGGGCAGAGAAGCCCCTCGCCAGGGTCAAATGGGCAAGGGGTGCTGAGCTGGGACTTGAACCCAAGCCATGTACCAGGTTTTTATAAACAGAACAGTGATTTTGAGGGATGTCATCCAGTTTGAGTGACACAAACACCCAAGTAGACAGACCTAGTAGTTGAACATGGATGTATCAGAACCTCAGGCTGCCCGCACCCCCCATCAGTGGGTGGGCCCACCTTCCAGGGCAGCCACTGGGTTGTCCTCAGCCCCCAGGCATGGTTTCCCTCTTTTCCCCTCTGTTCCCTGACAGCTGGGACCCAACACAGTGACCCCGGCCCTACCTTGAAGGAGAACTCAAGTCTGACAAGGAACGGAAAGTTGACAGCCTGTAGGATGCGCTTCTCATTCAGGGTGTGCTCGATCTGTTTCAGCTTCACCACCTGTGGGTGGGAGTGGGTGGAGAGGAGGAGGTATGAGCAGGCCCTCGTCCCCCTGGCTCCTGGAAGTCGGGGAGCCCAAGCTGGACTGGTTCCTACAAGCGTTTGTGGCCTGTGGAGCCCTGGGTGGGGTGCTGAGGATGCAATAAGAAGGCTGAGGCTGCCTGTCCCCATACGGCATGCAATTCAGCGCAAGAACACACGAGTCCCAGGGCCTCTCAGCCCAGAGCGATGAGAGCCATGACGGGGGAAGCTTGTGGCCTGAGGATGCCCAGATGAAGCACAGCGCCAAGTCTGGGACAGGGGTAGTCAGAGAAGGCTTCTTGGAGGAAGGGGCAGCAGAGCTGAACACAGAAAGACATGCAAGAACAGTGCCCAAAGAGTAGGGGGTTTATAAAACACTTCTCTGCATCTAGAGTACCCCTACACATCCAGCCAAGCCACAGGGTAACTCCTCCTCAGCCCTCAGCTATCCCCAGCCTGCGCCTCGTGCGTCATGATGGGAGCCATGAAGGCTATGTACTGTGAGCACGCCAGTTTTGAAGCCCAAGGAGGAGCAATGACTTGCTTAAGGTCACAGGCAGCTAGTCAGCAGTTGACTGGTATGTCACACACAGGCAGCCTGGCTGTTCAGTCAGCTCCGAACCCTTGTGCTGGGGCCTTTCCTGCTTTGCTCACAGCTGTATCCTTTGAGTCTAGGCCTGCACTGCCCAATGCCATTCATACTAGCTATGTGTAGCTGCTGAGTGCTTAAACATGGCTGGGAGCCTGGGGAAATGAGCTGAAAATTTTAAATATCATCCTGGCTTGTGTGGCTCAGTAGACTGAGCACTGGCCTGTGCGTCAAAACATCACAGGTTTGGTTCCCATTCAGGACACATGCCTGGGTTGTTGCCAGGTCCCCAGTTAGGGGCCGTGCAGAGGCAACCAATTGATGTGTCTCTCACACAGTGATGCTTTTCTCCCTTTCTCCTTCCCATCTCTCTAAAATAAGTAAGTAAAATCTAAAAAAATTTTTTAAAAAAATATCTAAAGTGAACATTTATAAACTAACACTTGATATAGTTACTGGACAACTTTTAAGTCTGTCTAGAACAACTGGGGCTATGCCAATCTGTTTTTTTAACTTCTCTACAACTACTTGTCTTTCCAATGAAAATTTAATATCAGAACACAGATACATTGTAAGTGTAAAATGCATACTAGATTTCAAAGGCTTGGTATGGAAAAAAAGAATGTAAAATGTCTCATTAATGATATTTTACATTGGTTACATACATTGAAATGATAATATTATAGATATACTGACTTAATTACAAAATATTGTTAAAACGCATTCCACCTATTTCTCTTGTTTAATGGGGCTTCTAGAAAATTTAAAATCATATGTAGCTTGTATGCCATTTCTACTGAACAGCATTGCTTTAGAGTAATGCCTAACATAAGTAGGGTGCCAAAAATATGTACAGAAAGCAGGTCTGTGTGAACGCCACCTCCCCCAGGAAGACCTCCAGCTTCCTGGAATACAGGTTACGTGTCTAACCCTGTGCCCAGTGCCTCATTTCCCTTGGTGGCTGGCCTGGAGGGGAACATCACGAAGGCAGCCTGGTGCCTTTCTGGTCCTCAGGCCTGCCACATGGTGGGGGCTCAAAAGTAGTCGGTGAGTGGATGGATAGGAAGGGTTTTCCAGGAAGCATGCGGGACTGGGCTGCAGGGCAGAGCTGAACTCACCTTTTGTTTGTCCAGGATCTTCATGGCGAAGTGGTTCCCAGTTTCCTTGTGTTTCACTAGCATCACCCGCCCAAAGGAGCCCGTGCCTAGGGTCTTGATTCGTTCAAACTGATCCAAATGGGCTGTATTCTGTGGGTGGAAGGGTTGGGTGAGTCAGAGACACTCCTCCCTGTGCCCTGCTGGGCCAACGTCTGGGGCATCCTCTCTGCCACCAGCAGAGGGGACCCTGGGGAGCTGGGGGAGTGATGGGGTGAGCACAGGGGGCGGAAAAACAAGATGGCGAAGGGCACATTCCTTGAGGCGAGTGGCAGGGGCCAGATATGGCCCTGGCCTGGGGCCCAGAAGCTGCCAGCAGCTGTGTGGGGGGCAGGGGCCACCGGTTGTAGGGGTAGCAGGGTGGGAAAGCCTGGCAGTGGGTGACCAGGCGCCTCTGCCCAGCAGCCCCCGTGTGGGTCTAGGCACCCCCCACAGGGCCCTAAGTCCCAGCCGTGTCACAGGGACAAAGCTGGGAGATGGGCCATCAGCTCACTCCTCCTAGGGCTCCGTACTTGGGGGGCTTACCTGAGCAGGATTTTCCCATTTTTTAAGAAAATCTTCTTTGGCTTTGGCTAAGAATTCTTTCACTGGAAGGAAGAGAGGGGAGAGTTAGATGGAGACCCCATCTCACTGGCGCAGGCCCAGGGTATTCCTGGGGAGATGCCCACTTGTAGAAAGTGGGGTGCAGCTATTTCAACCAGAATCTCATCTTTTTTCCCCACAGGGACTTTGGGTGCCCTGACTTAGTCTGAAGGCAGCCTGGCGGGGGTTGGGGGGGAGGACCCTGGTCTGGGCTGGGGCCTGGGCCCTTTACTACAGAGAGGTGGGACCCAGCTTCAGCTCTTCCGGAATGGGGTACAGGGCAACTTGGGGGTCACTCCCAGGGGTACAGAGGGTAGCACCCAGGCCAGCCCACCCCCACTTGCCCCAGTTCTGACCGACATTCCACGGCCAGGGACGACGCCAGCCGAGGTATTTATAGCCTCAGGATTTGGCTGTTCCTCAGGCCCCTTCTCTGGGGAGGCCGGTCCGGGGTGGAGGCCTCTGGGGCTCGGGTAGCAGGCGCCCTTGGGGGCTCAGCTGTCGCCTGGGTCCCAGCTGGGCCTGTTCCCACTTTTGCCAATTCAGGGGCCCTGGCTCCAGAGCTGGTTCTAGTGAGGCCTCGCCCAATGACCACTCCCCAGGAGCCCCTCAGTACCTCAAGAAGAATATCACCGTCTGGCTTCCTCTAAAGACTTCCCAGTGGACAGACCCCGAGCCTGCTGCTTTGTCTCCACTATCTCATTTGGTTAGCTCACCAACTTTCCTTTTATCCTTCTTCACATTTAACACTCTAGAAAACTGAGGCTTGAAGAGTCATTCTTGCCAGGGCTCTGAGGCGGCCCAGCAAATCAGTTAAGGGCCAGGACTCTGGGCCTGAGATCAAGCTCAGATCCCAACCTGGTCCCTGACAAACTATGTGACCTTGGGCAACTGAATTTACCTCTCTGGGCCTCAGTTTTCCTCATCTGTAAAACGGGGATAATAAATAGTAATGACCTGGCAGGGTAGTTGTGAAGACTGAATGAGTTAATTTTGGCAAAGGGTGCTGGACAGTGGCCTGTGTGAGCTTCATGCCATTTAACAGTCAACTGTTTTGCTTTCAAGTATTTAAAAAAAAAATTGAGATATAAAATACAGGAGATGCATTGAGTGCTCAAATCTTAAATGTGCAGCCTCATGGATTTGTACGTTATAGACTTGTCCTTGTAACCAGCCCCCAGGGCCAGGCATGCTGTTGTTCAGGGACCCTGCCTGTGTGTCTGCCCCATGCTGAATGCTTTCTATGCTTAAGTCCTACCCTGATAGCTGGGAGCCGCTATTACTCTCATTGTACAGAGAAGACTGACAAGGCCTGAGGTCTCCTGCCGGACCCCACTGCTCACAAAAGTAACTGGTTCACTCTGACAAGTCGTAGTGCACGAGGGTGGCCCACAGACAGACCTGTCCTTGACCCCTAATGTTCCTGGATGGTTGCTACCCTGAGGGGTCCTGTGCACTTGTACTTTGGTCTTGCCTGTCACCTGCATGTCCCATCCATATGTAGTACCAGGAGTCCCACACAGCCTTTGGGTTGCCACCACTCCTCCATTGTCCCCCAAGGCTCTCCCTTAGCGTTCAGACAGAAAAGGCTTCCATGGGGCTGCAAGAGGAGCACATGGGGGAGAGACTATTGATTGTGAAGGTTCTATAAAGAATGGCTGGGCAAAGAGAGGGCACTCAAGGAATGGTCAGGAGTCCTCAGCTGGTGCCTGGTTGGGCCACCAGCTATCTGAGAGATGTCTCTGTATCTGGGGACGGCACCACATCCCATACTTTCCCTAGCAGAATCTTTTCTGACATATACCACCTTCCCTGGGTACCTCTAAAGTACACTAAATTCTGAATGAAGATGGAGGAGATGGTTGGACCCTCTTGGAACTTTAAATTCGCCCATCCAGGAAGGTAGGGAGAAGCAGGCTTGTGAGGAGTCCAGAATGCCTGCTCCCACTTCCCCTCTCACTCTCAGCCATCCCAGAGAACTGCCATCTCCTGCTTCTCAGACTCGGGCACTCAACTAAGAGGCTCCACGGGGTGCCTTGGTCCTAGCACAGCCCTTCTCTGTCCCCTCTGGGGCTATCAGCTTGCCAGGTTTGGGGATGGGGCACAAGGGAGAGGCAGTGTAAGGAGGAACAGGCAGATAAAGAAGAAGAAGAATAGGGGGGGACCCCCAGCCAGGAGCCCCCATACTTACCTCTGCTTTCTGCCTCCTCCAGCAGAGGGTGCAATGGAGGCTGGGGGTGGAATGGGATGGGGTGATCTGGGGCTTGTCTGCCAATGCCCAGGGAGGCTCAGGGTGCTGGCTGCGGCTTAGGTGCCCAGAGGGTGCGGCGCAGGTAGCTCAAGAAACGAATAGTCAGGTGGACCCAGAGAAGTAGCTGCAGCCATAGCTGGAAGGTGGTCTCTGAGTCCACACCCTGGCCATTGCCTGACCCCAGAGCCATCCCAGGCTACACTGGGATCTTCCTGGAATCTTCTCTTTGCAGGGGAACCAGGTATATGCAGAGCTTCTGAGCTGGCTTCCTCGGGAGGGCCTCGGGGGACCCTGGAGGAGGAGCTGGTTGCCAGGGAAGCATTTAAAGGTACCTGCTCCTGGCTGGCCAAGGTTTGCAAAGGTCCTCCTTGGCAGGAGGCAGTGGCAAGATTCTCCCCAGGATATCCCTCCTGACTGGCCTGCCTGCCCCAGGAGTATGGTGCTAAAGCTAACTTCCCATTCCAGGCACTTCCCTGCTCCCAGGGTGACAGACCCTGCCCTCCCCAGTGGGTGCTGGACTACCCAGAGGATGGTACTCGATGTGCCCAGGGCAGTGCCCACTGGGCAGAGGAGAAGGAGTTAAGGTTTAAGTCCAGGCAGTAGCCAGGGGCTCCCTGGGGGCTAAAGAGGCCCCTGAGCTCTGTTAATCAGCAGAAATAGCAGCTGGAGAGACAGGCAGGGAAGGGGGCGGGGGGAAGGGTGGGGGGTTGCGGGGTGCAAGAGCCACCTTGTCTCCTCCCAAAATCCTGCTACCCTGAGAGAGAAATGGGTACATCTGGCTTTCTCTTGTTCCTACGCAGGAGCGAAGAGTGGAACGACATCCTGGGATGTCCTTGGCCTCTGTAAAACCTTGCCCTGTGCTTGGCTCTGCTCTAGGCCATGGAAGTCCAAACCGGAAACGAAAGGCTAAACCCAGGGGTGGGGGAGGGGGAGACTGCCTTTACCATCTTCTTCCTTCTTTCCAGATCCCAAAAGAAGTGGTAGGTCAGTGGCAGCTTCTCCCAGAGTGCCCAGCACCCGTGGCCCTTCTGACAACAGGAAGTGGCAGAGAAGGGAAACCCAGCCAGCTGCTGACTTGTGAAACCTGCTGCCCTGCCCATGTCTTCCACAGAGAAGATGCCAGCCTCCATCCTGATTTGGATTTGATTTGAGCTTATAAAGAGAACCCCTGACACCCTTCGAAAAGCCAGGACCACCGCACAAAGCAGGAGCCCAGCCTCAGACTCCTGACGCAAATCTCAGTACTCTCTGCCCATCGAAACCTGGTTTTCCAAGGAATTCTGGGGCAAGGGTGCCAAGCCTGGGCTGGGACCCCTACTCTGAGCTGGCTGATTCCCCCAGCCTAGCTTGGACCCCCTGCGCTGAGCTGGAATATCCTCAAGTCTGAGCTGGACCCTAATACTGGACAGGACCCCTCCACAGTCTGATGGGTCCCCATTCTCTACTGGACCATTTGACCTGGACTCCATCTGGACATCCTTGTTCTGACCTGAACTCCATCACTGAGCTGGATCCCAGCACTGGGCTGGACTATCCCACTGCCCTGCTCTGAGCTGGACCCCTGTTCTAGGTGGACTATACTCCCTTGTCTGAACTGGACCACCCATCCCCACTGCTATTTCCCAGGACCCCAGCCCAGAATTGTAAGGGAGGGGTTTCCAGAACCAACCAAAAGTCCACAGACTTTCCCTTTCCACCTGTTCCCCAAACCCTACTGCAGCCCCTCCTTGATTTCAGGGGCAGAGTGCCTGGAGAGTTGCTATAGCAACAGGGTTCAGCCTCACCATCGTTGGAGTTGGAAGCCATCACTCAATCTTCCTTTCAGGGCACCAGAACTATGGTGGCTGGGAAGGCTCAAGAGACCTGCTGCACCAACTTGGCTGCCCATTCCCAGAAACCTGCCTGTAGGGGGAGCCAAGGAGTTGTGGGGGTGGTAGCAGGAAAAGAAACCCAACCTGGGCCAATCGGTGCAGGGGAGGGGCAGGTAGGACCCTCAAGTTTCTGTAGGCCTGATTGGGCTGAAGGAAAAAGCTGCTTTAGCAAGACCCTCCTGGGCACCCATACAACTGCCAATGCACAGGTGTTTGACTCTCTTGTAATTCTGCAGAATGGGCAATTCTTCCCATCCAGGCACTTCTTGGGGGCACTTCTCACTCTTAGAACTTAGATCTGCTTGTTTCTAGGGCTTGGGGGTAGTATCTGGGGGTCCTCTTTCACCAGCCCTACCCCTTCCCCTGTGGGCCAGCTTCCAGGGGTGATTTTGGTCAGTGCCAGCCAAGGCCTGAGCCCCACTTGGCTGCCTATCCCAGGGGCCTCTTGGGGCCACTGCCCTCTCAATTTCTCCAAGCTGCTCAAAGCCGGGCGCTAGGTCTTTTTTTCTCTGCCGTCTTAGCACCTTGCCTGGGTCCCTGTCAATGGCTTTGGCATCTTTGGGTACTGATTTCCCCCACCCTACCCTAGTGCTTGCTCTACATCAATCCCTGCCCTCTTGGGTGGAGGCTGACACTGTCTTACCCCTGCACCAGACGGCAGCCCAGGAGGCTGCAAGATGCCTAACTAGTGCCTACTAAGGCTTGGGCATTCTCCTTACCCCAGTATGGCTGGCGTCTGGCAGATGAAATTCAGGTGCCCCCTGCAGGCTGGCATGGCTACTGCCCCTAACTCCCACCCCACCCCATCCTAGTAACAAGAGGGCAAATTTTGTATAACTCCATCCTTTCAGAATCAGAGTTCTAAGCAAAGAAGGGCTTCTTTCCTTATCCTATTCCTTCCCTGAGAGCCCCTGCAAGTTCCTGGAAGGAAGTGCAGCTTAGAGCACTTCCCAATATGTGACAGGGGTCCCATTGGCGGGGCAGGAAATTTCAGGGATGTTTCACTTTTCTAGTTACATTGTATTTCAATGTGTAGCAGAAAGAATATAACTGGTACTGGGCAATCCCACTATTTCATTTATATTACTGTTTAGGACGGATCAAAGTTTACATCTGAATGAAAGTCATTCAAAATCTTTATTACTGTAAATTAGGAAAATATAAGTGAATAAAGTAAAAATCAAGGAGGTAACTGAGAATGTGTGGGTTGGAAAATTCTGGGGTCCAGGAAGTTGGCTGGTAGGCAGATCTGGATGTGAATCCTGCCTCTGTGACATCATCTATGTCAATATCAGACAGTCGTTTAGAAAATTCGGAAAAAGGCCTGTTATGAAAATCACTCGAGCGGATAGATCTATGGAAATCATTTAGCCTGGCATATCCTAGATGCCCAATAAATAGTGGCCCTATTTCGCTGTGACGGTCCATTCCTGAGTGTCTGTCCTGTGTTCTGAGAGAATTAGTGGTTCCTTCTGGAGCCTCTGATCTTTTTCCCTGTGCAGTACCCTATCTCTCCACCCACTACATGTGTTTCATATGCCTTGAAAGTTTTCCAGGACTAGGTCATCTCCCCAACTTTCAACTGAGCCATTGCAATATATAGCTGCCTGCCTCCACCTTCTACCTCCTAGGCCTCACCTGCTGGGGGCCCAGCCCCTCCCTCTCTGCCTAGTCCCCTCCAAGCTCATGTCCAGGACTTTTTTTGGTCACTACCCACCTGCTCCTCTGTCATCAAGTATTCATCTACAGGCACTTGCCTCCATGTCCCCCCCCCCATCAGTGACATGTCAGCCCTCCTCATGGCTGCTCAGGGACTCTGAGTTCGGCCATTTGAATGCATGTGAGAATAAAGTCCCCTGGTTTTCATGTCCGGGTCTTTCTGGGACGGGGCATTCACAGGACTCAAGACACTGAGGTTTCAGACCAGTAACTGGGAAGGGCATATTTGGATGCGGCTTCCCTTTTCAGCTCTGACTGTTTCTGGGTAATGGGAAATGGATCCTGAGGTCCATCTTTAGGCCTGGAGTGGTAACAATTTTAAGAGCTGGAGTAATTGAGGAAGGGGAGCGAGGGCATTTCTGAAGGCATGTCCAGATACAGAATCTCTTTCTCTGATCAGCTTGAAGCAGCCAACATAATTTGGGGGCTGAAGGGGGAACAAGCCTCTTTCTGGCTGAGCCCTGGAAATGATCAGAATATGTCCCTTGGCAAAGTAAGTCATTAGATGTCATCTATTACTCTCCTCGACTTCCATCCCGAGCTCCCTTTCTCACCATTCCAGCTCAAGCTAAATGAGCTTTGTTAAACTCAGACACTCTTCATCCCCTACTTTCCATCCTCAGCCAGGAGCGGGTGAAGAAGCCCTGGGGACTGGGTGAATGACGGAGCCTCAGTTGTGAAATAACCATTTATTATAGAGGGGCCCTCCAAGGATCCTAGAGCTCACTGCACAGCAGGAGATGGAAAGGGGCTCTGAGGCCACCCCCAAACCCCAAGCTGGGAAGGAGGAAGAAATGAACCCAGCCAGACAAGCTCAAACTTGGCTTTGGACACCCTGAAGCAGTTCTCTAGGTTCATGAACAGTTTCCTACCCCAGCCAGGGACAGTTGCTTGCTGAGAGAAGAGAGCACAAGCAGAGAAGCAGAGAAGCAGAGTGACAGGATGACAGAGGGGCAGAGGGACCCAGAAAGAACCTGTCCCCCATGCCAAATGACACAGAAGGGAAAAACAACGCTGGAGGTGGCTCTGGGAAAAGCTCAAGGGGGCAGAGTGGGTTCGGAGGGGGGCTGTAGTGAGGTGAAGAGGAAAAGGGCAGGAGAAAGATGGCGGGGGTTGGAGGGGGGAGGGGTGTGGTCACCAAGTGGCCAAGGTCCCTATGGGGTGGAGACAGACCCCACAGCACTCCCAAGACTGGCAGAAAGCTGAGTCTGGGCCTGGTGGTGGGTCCCATCTATGGGAGAGGTGAGTGAGGAAGTGGGAGGACAAGAATCTGGGTAGAGGGTCCAGGAAAGTAGAGAGTGGGGTGGTGACAGGGCTCCATGTGGGGCCCCAGCGGTCATATGTGCCATGGTTGGCAGTGACAGCTGGGTGGGGGGGGCACAGTTTTTGCAGTGGGGGGCGGCCTTTGGCAGGGGGACTCCTACGGGGGGTCTTCTGCGGGCCCTTGGCCCTAACCTTGGACAGGCAGGGGGAGGGGCGCTGGGGGGTAAGCAGAGAGAAATGGGGGGCACATGGGGGAGGGGCCAGGCGATGATGGACAGGAAGGGGGCTGACAGCGCGGGTCCAGGATTGGGGTCACGGCCTGAGCACTCACCGCTCTCCTGCTCGCTGCCCTTCTTGGCGGCGGCGGCGTTGCCCATCGCGGCGGCGGCGGCGGCCGGGGCCGGTCCCGGAGCTGCGGTGCGGCGGGTGCTGGCGGCGGCCGGCGGCCCCGGAGCGCGCTGGGCGGCGGCGGCGGCAGCAGCCCCTCGGGTTGCTGCGCTGGCTGCGGCGCCGCGACCCCCGCCAAGCCCCTGCTTCCCGCGTCTCTCCGCGCCCGCCCGCCCGGGAACCTCAGCCCAAGTCCGCTGCTGCTGTCTGTCTGTGACGCTCCCGCAGCCAGCGCTCATTGGTCCAGACCTCTCTGACTGACGGCACCACGCTGCCGTCTATTGGCCCTCTGAGACCCTCCAGCGCCGGTATAGGTTGCGGCCCTGTGACGCGCGCCACGGATGCCCGGCCATTCGCGCGCCCGCGAGGCTCCTGATTGGTTGGGGTTCGCGACAGGGCCGCAGGCTCGCCCAGCGAAGCCTCCAATTGGCTGAGGTGCGCCGTCCGGCCAGTCCTCCTCCGAACGTCCAGTGTCAATCCCGGGGTGAGAGGGCGGGGCGGAGGCACAGCTTGCTGCCGGGCCGGCCGGGCGGGGCGGCTGAGGCTGGAGGGCGGCCGCGCCACGCTCGGAGGATCAGGAGGCGGTCCAGGCGGGCGCCCGTCCGGCCCCTTGCACGCCGCAGTACCCCGCCCCCGCTCAGTGCGGCAGCAGCCGCGGGCCAGCCAAGGTTGGCTCCGCGGTCCCCTCTCCCCCGGCGCAGCCGCTGTCCACCTGCCAGTGGGGGAGGGGCGCGGCGGCGCTTCGGGTCAGAGGTCATCGGGCTGCCAGCCGCCGTCATTCATAAGGCCTGGAGCACGGTAGCAGCGGCAGGCCCGGGGGCGGGGCTGGGGCTCCTGGAGGATGCGTGCTGTCTTTGGGAGCAAGGGGCATGTAGGAGGGGGCGCTTGGTGTCCATCCCGTTGCTGGGCGCCCACAGTGGGCTTGTGCCACCCGTTGAATATATTACTTCCCACCACAGCTGTCACGCAGGTACTATTATCACTCCCATTTTACAGATGAGGAATCTGGGGCATAGTCAGGCTGAGGATTCTGTCTGGGCAATGAAGAGGAAATCGGCTCTACAGGGGCAGAGACATAGCGAGATGCCCCTGCCTTCAGGGTGCCCTTTTTATACACACACAGCCTGAGGGCAGTCAGATTTTCTACTGCCACACTGGTGAGTTTGGGGCCTGATCGTTCTTTGCTAGGAGGATTGTCTTGTGCAGTATTGCACATCCCTAGTTGAGCAGCATTCCCAGTAATTTCCTCCTCCTCCAGCACGTGTGATAACCAAAACCACCTCGACATTGCTAAATGTGCCCTGGAGGGCAAAGTTGCCCCCAGTTAAGAGCCACTGGAACAAAGGCCAAACAGGAGGTAGTCAGAGGGGCAGGGGACTGACTGAGCCAGGTCTCCTTGATTTGGAGGAGTTAAGGGGTCTTAGGTCTACAAGCCAGCTGACTCACTGCTCTGCCTATAAATTTGTACAACCTGCACCCTACCCAGCTGCTCTCTGCACCCATGCTCCTAGGTTGACCATGGGGAGCGAAGAGTTGGGGCTCTTATATGAATTATGGGGAAACCATTCCAATTCTGGCTGTAGGGTTACAAAAAAAAGTTAAGTAAAATTTAATAAAAGTGTTGCTGTGTCCTTACAGTACAGTGTTAATTTTCCTGTGGGTCAAGGTTAATGTCTGAAGGAAAAAAAAAAAATCGCTGGTTATGCTCTACAACAGCTACTTTGCTTGCTTCAATAAATGAAAACTTCCTGAATCTGTCTGGATCACAACTATGCAATCAATTAAGACTAGGGCAAGAAGCTGAACAAGGAAACAAAAGGCAGTGAGTGAACTGACTGGCGAGGGTAAGAGGACCCCCACCCTATGTTCCAAGGAAAGATGGACAAAGCTGCCTCAGCCCACTCAAGATAAAAGCAGAAATAATCAGTCTAGATGAAATGCATTTTTAGACCAACCTTATTTAATATTAAAAAACCTTTAATATACAAGCTGTAATCACAACAGCATCCATGTGGCAGAGAGCATGGCAAGGGGAGGGAGATTTTCAGCGTCCCTACTGCTTCCTGTGGCTGCAATTGCTCTGTAGCCTCTGAGAGCATGAGGTCTTAGCAGAGGGCAGATCACGGCGGCCAGAGACAGGGGGGCCCTGTTGCCCTCACTGAGACAGAGCAGAGGTCGCTCCAACAGGCCATCTCCCCATAGTAGCAGCCTCCAGGGAAATCCAGATCCAGTCAGAGGTAACGAGAACGTGGTGGTTGTGACTGAGAGGAAGAGTCAACCATCATTCCTAAGTAAGCATCCTGCTGATCACACTTTTGGGAACGGTTTTCCGGGGGCTGATGGACTGAAAGACCTAAAAATCGTCCTGGGAAAAGGACAGAAATTGTGTCCGATTCCACCTTCTAAGCCAGGTTCCGAGTAACTCCAGAAAGCAGGGTGAACTACTCAGCTGTTTGGGAAAGGGAAGGACTGACAGAGCCTTTGGCCCAACAAGGCCGGAGCCTTGCCAACCACTGACCAAGAAAGCCCCAAGGCAGGCCAGGGAGGTCTATGGGAAAAGCTCTGGGTCAATGATATTTATATGGGAGCATGGTGACACAATGGCTTATGGGTGGAAGAGAGAAAGAACACAAGGAAGAGAGAATTGAGAACCGAAGCACCTGTCTTTTATAGGGTTGGAAACTAAAGGTGAGATAATCCTTCTGGGCTGAGGCTGGGAGAGACCTGAGGCCCATTCTTTCTTCAGGGACAAGTTTGAAAGGCCTGAATATAGTTGATGGCCCCAAAGTCTTCCAGATGGTCCACACAGGACTCTCAGGGAGGCCCAAACTGCCACCTCTAGATGTGCCAGGAGACGGAGTGTAGTACTGGCTGGGCCCAAGAAAGGCCTAGAGTCCCTCAGTTAGATGCAGTCCATGGAGTTCTCGGGGAGGAGGCCAGGGACACAGCCAGGGTGCCCCAAGCCCTTGACAGGGGTGCAGTTGATGGGGGGGCTGCAGCTTAGGGCAGGGTCCTGGTTCTCTATGGCCTCCAGCGTATCTGTGTTGTTGTCCCAGTTGATGTGGAAACGGGTCACCCGGGGATTCGAGGCCAAGATGTTCCGTTGGAGCTGGAGCAGGAAGAGAACATCAATTTGTCAGCATGCCCTCTCATTACTCTCACAAAGCTAGGGCACCCCTGGACCCTCACTCCAAGACCAAGAAGAACAGACCCTGCTTATTCTCTCATCAACAATATGTGGGACTCCACAGAATGCCTGTGCACCATGATTTAGGGCCAGGACCTATCTAATCTTAATTCTGCAAGGCGTGCTTCTGAGAAACAAAGACCTCTCTCTCTCTCCAGTTTTAGCCCAGCACTGCAAGATCTGAGCACTAATTGAAAACTTTAAGTGACCTTGGCTCCTGAACCCAATGACTTAACTCCCTTTATATGGAAAGGAGCCAACTGGTCTAGAGCAGAAAGTATAGAGAGACCCCACCTGAGAGAAGTCTGGCTTTGGGGGTGGGTTCTCCCGCAGCTCTGGGTCAGGGTACTCATTGTTGACGTAGTAGCCCACTCGGATGAACTCCTGTCCACGGTAGGTGCAGGTGATGAGGACCACTGTCACACCGATGGCATCGCTCTCAGGGATGAGGGATGGGTTGGGGGCATCGGCCTAGTGGAAACACATCCTAGGCCTTAGCACTGACTGCTCTGAGTTCAGTGTTAATGAATCAATAATACTAAATGAGGTATTTTAAACATACCTAAAACCAAGTTATGTATTGACTGGTTGACAAAAATGTGCCACGCAGAAACCTAACCCTGTATTTCCTGTGGGACCATGATTCAGTATTCACTAATTCACTGTTCACAACAACTTTACAGAACATAACTCCTGTGAATAATGAGGATCAACTGTGAATCAGTGGCTCATGGTAGCAGCCATGACAGAGGTGGAGGAAAGGGAAGCACTTTTGAGAGGTCAAATTTAAAAGCAAAGCAAGGATTTGAACCTGAACTTTTGACCACTAAACGGTGTGCAATTTCTAGGTGTCAAGGCCTATAAAGCCTCCTTTCTTACCTGAAATACGAACATGTGTCTCCCTGCTGGGACAGGGCCGACCAGCACCGAGTCTAGGATTTGATCAAACTCCTCACTCTCAGCTGAGCCAACATAAATGATCTTCCACTCTAGGTCTGCAAGAATGTAGGGTGTTAAGGAATTGAAATAACTTGATATAAAAAAGGCAAGGAAAGGGTCCTCTTGTCCTAGTTTTGGACAGATCCTTAATATAGTGAAGGATTCTTACTCTCAACGCCAGACATCTCCTGGACAAGAAGCTCTTACTTCCAGTGGAAGTGGGAAATTTCTCCAGTGGGCCCAGCTTTGCCAGGCGACCTTGACTCTGCATCTCCAGAGAAACTCGGGCCTCTCAGAGCCTGAGGGCAAACCTTATGGCAGAGGCTGAATTAAGACCCACGTGATGGAGCGCGCCGAGAAGGGAACAGCAGGGAGTTGGGCCATTTCAGGGCCCTGCCCACTGGGTGCTGGGACAGGAAGCAGCATCCTCTTTCACACACAGGGACCAGTGCCACCGAACTGAGTAGATCCCTCGACAACTGGGGCAGGGCAGCAGATTCCAATCCAGCAGGAGAGCCAGCCAGCAGGAAGGGGAAGATGAGGCTGCTGGGGGAGTCAGCCAGTCCCCAGGTCTTCCAGATCCAGCACCAAGTCATGACAGTTTATGGACACTGGGGCGACCGATGACTCAATCAACAAATGTGATCCTCTTAGCCCCAACTTTCTCGCAACCCATCTAGTAGGGGGTAACCCCATTCCTGAGTATGTTTGGGAGAGATGAAAGGCAAAGTGCTTAAGGAGACCCTGCCCATCAATTACAGGAAATTCCCAGTGACCACTGCCTCTTGCAAAAGGTCCAAGTGTATCAGGGGCAAGGTCACGTTAGTACAGGGAAGCTTGGCAGGAGACCTGAAAACTTATTTTAGGTTCTCTGAAATTACACAACCTACCACCCCGGCAACCGGGGGAAGTTTCACAAGCTGTGATTTTCACAGGAAGCAAACGCTCTTGGAAGCTGCCCTGTTGCTTGGTCCAGTGTCCCGCAAGTGCATCCAACTTTGGAAGCACATTGATGCAGGGCCCCAGCTAATGAAGATGGTCACCTGAGCCCTGAGTTCTTCCTAGATACACTGGCTTCCTGTCCCTTTGCAGTATCACCCAGGTCTACTCAGGGCTCCCGGGCTCACTGGGGTTCAAACTCTTAGTCTCTTGTTATTAGCAGGGAGGATTAAGTTTATTGATTTTTTTGTTGTTACAAGTAGTAACAGGACTAGTCATAACATGTTTGGAACAAAGAGAAAATTAGCTAGCTGTTCTCACCTTTTTCACACAGGTCTAGATTTTGGTTATCTTCCCTTCTGGCCTCTCCCCCATCATCAGTTGGAATCACATGTATGTGCATTCAACTGATGTGCTGGGGAGGGGGAGATATAAAGGAGACTGAAAGAGAGCAGGCTCGGAGCATTCCACAGGCACTCAATGTTCAATACTGTTAGCAAAACCTAGCCAAAGACTGTGTGGGTGCTGACAGGAAAACACACTGCATGGGTGACCAGGCAAGTGGGCCACAGTGGATCCCTCAATACTGGAGAAATTAACCAGAGAATTAACAGAGGATTAGAGAAACACTGACTCAAGAGTTGGAAGAAATAATAAAATCATCTACAGGAGACAAAAGATAAAGACCTAAAAATGGAATCATCTTAAAGTTGAAGTTTTAAGTGACTTCAATTTTAATGTAATTCCTCTTTAGAATTAGATATGGACTATCAGCAACCAATACAGCACAAACTCACTCCTATGGAACACAGGACACAATTATATACATGTAACATGGGTACCTAACCTTTGGGACAATTTCAAAGTAACTCAACCACCTTACATTTTGTCTTTATACCCTAATTTAATGATCTAACCACTGTACAGGATGTTCCTCTACCATGTATGAAAACGAAACCAAAACCAGAGGCATGATAAAAGACTTGTAAAATACCACTGTACTTGAACTAGCTGAGAAACCTGTTCTCTGCCTTAAAAAAAAACTTATCTAGTAGGTCTTTTTCTGTGTATCACTTTATCTTTGTTCATAATCACACAGATGAACCTTGGCCTGACCACAGCTGTGGTTCAGAACATTTGGCCCCATGACTTATTCAAGCAGTGCCCGTTGAATTTCTCAAATAAATGGGTGGTGGTGAGGGGGAAACAAATCTAATGTGTTAATTGTGGATTAATTTTAGAAGCATCTATTTCCAGATGCTGAGGAGAAAAGAGAGCAAAAGGGGCTTGGAGCCCTTTGGAAATGAAGTCAGTTGACTGACTAGGGTTTAGGGGTCTTGTCAGATCTGCAGTTGCTGGTATTGAGATAATAAGACCCTGGCTGGTGTGGCTCAGTGGATAGAAATAATAAGACTGAGGTCTCTCCAGGATCTGAGACTTCTAAATCCAGGCCCACTCCATCTTTTGAGAGGCAGGCAGGAATCAAATTCTCTCTGCTCTGTGGGAAGAGGCAGAAACCAGGTTGACTGATTAGAGTTGTAGAGAGCCCTAAAGAGAAAAACCAGAGTCTGGATTTCCAGGCCAGAGTTTGCTTTTCAACTTGAGTTTCTCTGAGCAAATGCTTTATTGTCCAGGTGTAATTAATAACAGCACTTCCTTTTGAAAGTCCTGATGTAGAAGGAAATTCTATGATCAGTTCTATTTATGTTCCACTTCTAAAACAAAGGATGCAGTCTTGGTTGGCTGACTCAGTTGGTTAGAGCACCATCCTGATACATCAAGGTTGCAGGTTCAAGTCCTGGTCAGGGCCCATACAAGAATCAACCAATGAATGCATAAATAAGTGGAACAATGAATTGATGTTTCTTTCTCTTGAATCAATAAATTAAAATAAAAAGAAGTTTAAAAGAAAGGATGCATTCTTCTTTCTCAAGGGTTTTGCAAAGATAAAGAACCCCGGACCTCAGAACTCAGAACAAGCCCTAGTGTCAATAATGCTACCAACCGGCTATGTGACCTTGGAGGAGTCATTCTGTTTCTCTCTAATAAAATGTGATGACCAGCAGGGTTGACTTTCGACTTCTACTCTGACCCTATAAACAGATTAGTAAGGTAACGGGGCAGGGGTATTTCTAGGAATAGAAGTAATAGATAATGACCACACAACCACTTTTAAATGGAATGAGCACAAACCCGCTGATTGAAACCTGATCCCCTGCCATCTGGGACTGTGAATCCCTTAACCTATTAGCTCCTTATATCAGCTCCCGGCTTTAAAATTAAATGTTATTCCATAGTGATATTCTACACTTAATTTATTTATACTCTGCATTGTTGCAGGAAGAGTTAGTCACAAGTAGACTTGTAATTTAAACAGAGAAACCAGGGAGAGACTGCTCAATAGGTCCAGCCTAAGCACACAAACATCTCCAATCATATCAAACCTAAAATAATCCAAGTGGCTGGATTTGCAAGCAAACTACCCAACTACCACCTAGAAGTGCTAGTTAGTACACCCTTGCTTTATAGACCTCACCTTCTCAGCTGCTGCCTCTTCTCTTTTTAACTGTCAAATGGAGAAATGGTCTGATGGAGTACAGGGATACCTCAGAGAGATTGTGGGTTCAGTCCCAGATCACCACAGTAAAGTGAGTAGTTATTTATTTATTTATTTTTTTGCTGGTGAGGGTCTTGCCTTCAATTTGTAAAAAATGCAACATCTGTGAAGTGCAATAAAACAGAAGTAAGCCTGTATTTCCTCCTGAATCCCTGGGCGACCTTAGGTTTTTGGATTTTTATAGACCTTTCCTTGAAAGGTCTTTCCCTCTTTGTGGTTCCCATCTTTTCATCTGTGAGATGAGAGCCATGTCTACCTTTATGAATAAGCACATCTGTGAAAGCACTGCGGAAAATATGCCCAAAAGGTTGTGACTCCAGCTGATTGTTTGAAGCTGGATACCAACGTAGCTCAGCCCAGCCCACCTACCCTCTAGAATAGGCCAGACCGTTAAAAGTGCTGGAGGAATCACTGCAGTAGGTCAGAGGGGACCTGGTGAGCAAACAGTGGGACCTGGCTAATGCTTGCTTGGCTAGACCACTCTTCATATTTGAGTGTGTGCATTGAAACCCACAGTAAGGGAAGAGGGAAGAACTGGAGCTGGGGAGAGCAAGTTATCCTCAAAGACTAGGAAAAGGAGGAGGGAAGCCAGGTTCTAGGGTGCTTTGGGGAAGAAAACAAAGTGGGTGGGGTTGTTTAAGTATCAGCAGGTTGGGGAGGGGATTATTGGGAGACAAATAGGGAGGTGGGGGTGAGTGAGGTATTGCCATGGGGAGAGTGAGGGTCTTTCTCCACAGGGAAAAAGGGTGATAGGAGGGCCTTGACTGGGAAAATTGGGAGGGAGCTTGGGACAGATGCCTCTACAGGGAAACTGGGGGAGGAGGCTAAGGTTTCCATAGGGGCAATGGGAGGGGGCTGGGGATTGGAGTCCCCTTAGGAAAAAAATTAAGTGGAAGTGTCTTGCCAAAGGAGAGGGGGCTGGTGGAGAAAACTGAGTAGCTGTAACGTTAATATAAAAAATCTATACCGAAATAGAAGATGGGGTGGCTGAGAGTATCCGCAGGTTAAAGAATGGCAGCTGAGCCCGGGCTTGTGTGGCTCAGTGGATTGACTGCCGGCCTGCGATTCCCAGACAGGACACACGCCTGGGTTGTGGGCCAGGTCCCCAGTTGGGGGCGTCTGAGAGGTAACCACACAATGTTTCTCTCCATTTCTTCCCCTCTCTCTAAAAACAAATAAAGTCTTAAAAAAAGTTTCCTCTCTTTATTTAAAGAATGGCAGCTGCAGCTGAGAAGGGAGGGGGGTGGGGATGATGAGGTCTCAGCTTTGGGAAACGAGAGTATCCGTGGGGAGGGGGTTGGGTTGGCCCCGGGGTGAGACTGGGGCTGGTGGGGAGGGAGAAGGGAGAGATCGCGATGTGGGAATTATTTCACGGAAGAGGAATGGCCGCCAAGGTCTCTATGGGAAAGTCTGGTTGGCCAGGGGTCCGGGGTGGGGGGTGGGGGTAGGGTAATGTCCACACAGGACCGGCCTCACCGTCCGCCAGAGCCTCATTGCACTCGAAGCTGATCTCGAACCGGAAGGGGCTGTGGAAAGGGCTCGGATTCTCCAGCACCGCTACGTTCAGCACCGACACTTTGGCCATCACCTCGCCGGGCCACGGCTGAAGCCGGAGCCGGGGCGAGCCCACGTCTGGGTCCTGTAGGGTGAGCGGGACAGCGTTACCGACACAACCTGCAGTCTCCTCAGTCCCGCGGACTGAAACGCGTATACAGTCCGCGCGCCTCCTTCAAATAGCCGGGCGCACTCTCTGCCCAATCATCGTAAATGCTCCTTGGCAGCGTGAGCACCCCCTTAGCCAATCCTGAAGCGCTGGGCCGTGAGCGCGGAGACTCCCCGGACCAATCCGCGGAGCTCCCTCTCCGGAATGTGCGAGAGAGGCGGGACCATCTCTTGGCTACTTTGGGTGTCCACAAGAAACCAATCCCCAGCGTCTCAGACTCGGTTATCAAAGGCGAGGGTAGGCGGAGTCAGAGCGCGGGCTTACTGTCGACCAATCCCGAGGGTTCCCGCACCGACTTGGCCCACCCCTCACCGAGCTTTTCTGGAAGACGCAACCGGCGGGGAGCAGCGCCGCCAACTGCCGAGCGGTGGCGCGCGGCGCTCGCTCAAGAGGGCGAGAAGGGCGGGGCTCGAGTCCGCGGTGATTGGCAGGTGGGAATGGGGCGGTGATAAAGCAGATTCTCTGAGAGGTTCATTGGCTGGATTAGCCTAGGGGCGGGAGGAGAGGACGACTCGGCTGGGGATTCGTGGGAAAGAAGTGAAAGTCGGCCGCCGGCGCGTTTGAACCGGGTGTGAAGAGAGAGAAGTGTTTGCAGCATCGGCGTCTGTCCGCAGGTGAGCGTTACCGGGAGCCTGTCTGCGGGGCTCCTGGCCCCTCAGGCCCAGAGGCCGCAGAATCCGTTGAGAACGTTGTGAACGTTATAAACGTTTGACTCACCCCTGAGGGGAGACGACTGGCGACAGTGGGGCCCAGGCCCTGGGAGTCTGTCCTGATTCGAAGCCCGCCGTCGCCCCTTCAAGGGCCAGCGGGAGGTGTCAGGTGGGCAACGCTGTAAATGGGAGTTCGAGCCCGGCCTCTACCACTCAGCTCGCGAGGCCACGTTTTCCCGCTGATTTAACAGGGCTGTGAAAATACACTGACCTGACTCGTGACTGCATAATACATCTAGAAACTTCTCTCCACCCACGCACCTAGCCCAGCCAGCGTTGCCCACTGGCAGGAAGACTCCAGGTGCCTCCGCATCCATTCTCTGCTTCCACCCACGACCAGTGGAAAAATAAGTTACATACTCAACTTTACATTTGTTTAGTAACCCCTTTTTAAAAATAAGTTTTAAAAAAGCAGATGAAGTTAGTCTTAATATGTTGTATTTAATCCAGTAGTACCAAAATATTTCCAAGAGGTGGTAGGTATAAAAAATACAAATGAGATAACTTATATTTGTTTACTCCATACTAAGTCTGCGAAATCCTGTCCTTTTTATACTTACAACGACGTTTTCATCAGAAAGAGTTGGTCTGACTTTAAGTTTCATAAAACATTAAAAGTTAAAAATGTAGATTTCCATGCCCAAGCCTTCCTGACATACTTAAGAGTTTCCCATGAGCTCAAATGCATTTTTTTGAAACAGATTTTACCTATTTACTTTTAGAGAGGGGGCAAGGGAGGGAGAAAGAGAGGAAGTTGCCTCTCACAGGCCCCCAACCCGGGACCTGGCCTGCAACCCAGAGGTGCCCTGATGGGGAATCGAAGTGGTGACCTTTCAGTTCACAGGCTCTCAATCCACTGAGCCACTGCCACATCAGCCAGGGCGCATTTTGGCTTTTTAAAAAAAATTTATTTAGAATATTTATTAGTTTTTAGAGAGGGGAAGGGAGGGAGAAAGAGAGGGAGAGAAACATCAATTTACACAATGGAATACTACGCAGCAGAAAGAAAAAAAAAACTGCTAAACTTTGTGACAGCATGGATGGAACTAGAGAGCATTACGCTAAGCGAGATAAGCCGGAGGGCGAAAAACAAATACCATATCTCACCTATAATTGGAACCTAACCAACAAATACAAAGATGCAAGGAAAATAAGACCAGCAACACTGAAAGGAAAAGAAACCAACGGAGACAAGAGAGAAGGAGGGATGGGTGGGCGGGCAGGGTGGTGGGGGAAGGAAGGGAAGGGGAAAGTCAAGGAACATGTAGCAAGGACTCATGGACAAAACCAAAGGGGAAGGATTGAGGGAGGGAGAGGGGGGAGGGGGCAAGAGAATGTGGTGGGGGGGGAAGGCAGAGACAAATGTATTTGGAAAAATAAATTAAAAAAAACCCAAAACATCAATGTGTGGTTGCATTTCGCACACCCCCTGCTGGGTACCTGGCCTGAAACCCAGGCATGTGCCCTACACTGGGAATGGAACCGGCAACCCTTTGGTTTGCAGGCTGGCACTCAATCCACTGAGCCACATCAGCTATGGTGCATTCTGGCTTTTAAATTGAAATGTTAATTGATGAAAATTAAGTGGCATGGAAAATTCTGTTTCACAATGGCAGTAGCTATATTCAGGTTCTCATGAGCCTCTGTGGCAAGTGGCTACTGTATTACTGGACAGGTCTCAAATTGGATCACTCTCCTACTTATAATGTGAGTGGTTTTTCTATTTGTCTCAGGAGGAGAACCCAGTAGCTTCTACCCCTACCCCATCCACAGCTTTTCTTTGTTTAAATTTTTATTTATTTATTTATTTTTAGAGAGAGGGAAAGAGAAGGAGAAAGAGAGGGAGAGAAACAGAGAAATACGTGGTTCTCTCTCACATGCCTCCAACCAGAGGCCTGACCATAACACAGTTGTGTACCCTGACTAGGAATCGAACTGGCGACCTTTTGGTTCTCAGGCCAGCACTTAATCTACTGAGCCACACCAGCCAGGGCCACATCTTTGCTTTTCAAGGTTTCAGGTTTCAGTTACCTGCAGTCAACCTTGGTTCGAAAATATTAAATGGAAAATTCCAGAAATAATTCATATGTTTTAAATTATGCATTCTTCTGGGTATCATGATGAAAAATGAAATCTTACACTAGCTAGTGTTCTCTGGGAGTTGAATCATCCCTTTGTCTAGCACAGCAGTTTTCAACCACGGTGCCACAAGAATTTTTAAACATGTAATACCTGACTATTTAGTCAGGGGCACTGACCTCTTTTCCCATATATTGTCAAATAAAAAAATGACAGCAGCCACCTCAACAATAGCTATCTGGTGTGAATGAATCAAAAATATACCTACTTTTTGTCAGATTGGCAAAAATTATAATATGTTCTTTGATGTGCTGCATAATTTTAGTAATTAATTTGTGTGCTATGAGATGAAAAAATTTGAAAATCACTGGTCTAGTCTATCAGAGACCTCCATATTCACATAACTTTTATTACAGTAATTGTTATAATCTGTTTTATTATTAGTTATTCTTGTTAATTTCTGACTATGCCTAACTTATACATTAAACTTTGCCATAGGCATGTATGAGGCCTGTCTGGAAAAAGTCCAGCCATTGTTAATGTAACAAGAATGGTTTGTGCAGCATCAGTGTGACTTGGCAGCCAAGGAGAGTGTATTGGAATGCGCATGTGTGAACAATGATGACTTCACTATATCAGTCAATGGGGGCTGTAGACACCATTGAGTGAGCATGTGTACTGCGTGGCCAGTGCATTCAAAATTATACAGCAAGTGGAGCAACAAATTTGCATCAAATTTTGTGTTAAGAGTGAACATTCCTTCATGGAAACTATTTGGATGATTCAGAAGGCTTTTGCGGATGATGCAATGAATACAGTGCAAATGAAAGTGTGGCACACTCAAAGATGGTCAAGAATCTGTTGAAAGTGATCCATGTCTCCGGAACTCATGCAACAAGCAGAACACCTGAGAATGTTGAACATGTCTGGGCTGCAATCAACAAAGATTGGTGATACAGGTGACTCAGCCCCCCTATGTCCCAGATTTGGTGCCCTGAAACTTCTGGCTTTTTCCAAAAATAAAATCACCTTTGAAAGGGAAGAGATTTCAGACTACAGATGAGATTCAGGAAAACACGATGGGGCAGCTGATGGTAATTCCAACAAAGGATTTCGCAGAGTATTTTGAACAGTGGAAGAGACTCTGGGAGAACTGCATGAGATCCCAGCGTGCCTACTTTGAAGGAGACTGAGGTGTCATTGTCCTGTGTTTCTTGTATCTTCTTCGATAAATGCCTGTATTTTTCATAGTATATGGATGGATACTTTCTGGACAGACCTTGTATGTATGGGAAAAACAGTGTATATAGGGTTTGGTACTGTTCACAGTTTTAGGCATCCACTGGGGGTCTTGGAACTATCCTCCTTTGTTAAGGGAGCACTATTGTATTGTCTTTAAGATTCGACATGACATGCTTGGTTTCCTACAGCCTACAAGCCCCAACTTCAGTCCAGCCAAATTGACCATCTCTTTGTTCCTCAAAAATATGACATGGCGCTCACAGTGCACATCCTCTACCTAGAATCTCTTCTCTCAGTTCTTGGGATGGCTGGTACCTTCTTGTTATCTATATCTCTCTGTTTAAATGTCCTCTCTGGACACTGTTCATACTCAGAGTGTAAGCCTGAATAGCATTGATCCAGGCCACTGGCATTTCTTATCTAGTCACCTCTGGCCTCCCGAGAGTCTTAAGGCCTCATAATGCTAAGTATATTTTTATATTTACATCTCACATTAAGTAAAAAAAAATTCTTGCATTGAAAAAAACTGAAAGTTTTTTTCCCCACCTGTGAAATTTGTGATGGCTGTGATTTCTTGGCAATCATTGGGACTATATGGAAATTTTTGTGGCTCAAGAGAATCTAATTTTCAAGGTATTTCCCAATATAATTTGATTGTTTATGAATACTAAATTTAATGGTGAATGAAGTTGCCATAATGTTATATTTTCTAGATGTTTAAACATCTATTCATTCTAACTTTGTAGTTTTCTTTTTACATTGTGGAACTTTTTTTTTCTTTATCCCCAGTCCCTGCCTTCTCATAGCCCCTGAAAAGCTCATCAGCCTGGT